CTCATTATTTCAATTTTTTACACTAACACAAGTGCATTTATGCCTGATTTCATGGCAATTAATTATTCGTAAGAAATTATTAAAAGAAACTAATGAGACGCAGAACAAAAGCAGGAAAGCAATCAATAAACGAAAAATATTTGCAAATTATACCAAAAAGACTTTCAACGGCGACAATAATGTTACTGTCAATGTCAAATTGACAAAGTTAGTCGAACATGACATTTAAGTGGTGTAGTTGAAGTATATAATAGTTATTTATTCGACGAGTGTGAGTGTAAATGGGACGGTTTATTTGACCGAGTGGATTTTTATACCACGAGTGTAACGAGGTGGAATAAAGCGTCCGATTTACACTCAAACGAGTTGAATACAACATTTTATTCTTCGAATTAGACTCAACAAGGCTTAAACGTTCTTTAAATCTGTTAAAAATAATTTGACGTTTCGTATTGTGAAATGCCAAACAGTTGTCAAAACTTTCTTACACGGGGGAAAAACCATAAATTTTGACAGTGTCGAAGAATAAAGTCTGTTTTTCTTTAAATGGATATTACCAAGTCAAAATTTTGGTGAAAAAATTGGTAGCAGCTTGTCTCCATAGCCACAAATTTTGTTTGCTCTTTGTTTTTGTTCCTAGAAATATTGTTGAAAAATTATGGTTATGAGATGTTGTCAAAATTTTGACTTTTATAAATCTTGTGTGCCTGTTTGCTCTTTGAAAGCGCTATAATTGAATACCTGAAGACAGCCATCATTACCTAAGGTCTAAAGACAGAATTCAGTGCTAATAATAATTTTGATAAAAACACTCCGCTAGTAAGTACAATGTTGTGGACAAAAATAAGATTCTTGCTACAAAAACTTTGAAGAAACAGGATGTGTATACAGAAAAAAGTAATTTAGCAAAAGATGCAAGTAGGTATTATGATGATTGGCAATAAATTTTGTGTAATTTATTGAAATGAGTTTAAAGTTGATGCATTTTATAAATTCTTCTTCAGGTTTAGTGTCAAAATTGTTACTTTTTCATCTCGTTCCTCAAAAACGATGCAACAAATACTAATTTAATTACGTTCTTTCCGAGGTTCTTTCTCATTCATGTTTATTTTGTATTCTTGTCAATTTCTTGCTAAAAATTGAGAATATTTAGCAAACCTGCATTACAAATTGCGTCTACATTTTAACGGGCCTATTTTCTAACTTCTTGCTTGCGAACTATTCGTTTCCAAATTTCTAAAAACTGTTAGCGGTACCGATTTCGTTCCTTTTTCAGTGTTTCGTCTCTAAATTTTCTTCACGATTTTTTGTGTTGACGTTTAATGACATTGTTTTCAAATTAATTTAAAAAACCGAAACTGACAACTTCCTTTATTAAAATTACCATGAATAAATTTACTAGTGGTGTCAACGTTAAGACTGTTTGGCATTTCCATTTAAAAAAAACAAACTTTATGTAAATTAATGTTCAAGGCTACCACCCTTAGAAACCCTTTAATTGTTTCAATTTGTATTGTGATACAATTTTTTATTTCACTTTTGTGTTGGTAATGAATAAGGCTCGGATTATATGCAAAATGCATATTTGTCATTAAGAGGTATATCAACAAAATTGTAAGTTTTCTATGCATATCTAATGTTTTTTGATTAAAATAAGGCAATTAAAAAATGCATATTTTGCATATTTTGGCAACTTGGTGCATATTTTAGAAAATATTGCATATTTGTGCATATTTTCTTCAAATCACTAATTTCCGATTAAAGATTTCAGTTCAAGTTAAAAATTGGACAGTTTAAGAAAAATAATCCGATTACAAAACATTTTAAAGAGAAAACGACCGGTAATTCGTAAGCCAAACTCAAAAAATTAGTTCCCTGCAGAGAGTTTTCTTTTTAAATTCGTTTTATACTGGGTGAATATAAAGTATGACCCAAGCGGTTTTTTTTAAATCATTTGTTTCCAAATAATAATAATTAATATAAATTAAAGTAATATAAAACAATGATTTTTTAAGAACAAAATTTTGTTTTGTTTTTGAGTTATTCGAGTTTTGTTGTCTAAATTGCGATTTACATATGTAAAAAAATAATTTAATATAAAGTAGATAGTTGTAATCCCTTAGATCTTGACCTTCATGAGAAAAATGTTTTTTTTTGTTGGGTTGCCATTTAAAAAAATAAATATGTTTGTAGAACTCAAAAACAGAAAAATAAAAATTTTGAAAAATTTTATTTTTGATAAATCATCACATTTCTACAGAACTTAATAATTCATTAATTATTTTTTTCAAAAAATAAATACTTTAAGCAAAAAACGTGATGTGATCTAAAAAGTACAGATTTTTTAGAAGGGGTTAATTACTAGGTTATTAAAATGGCTTGTCTTACGCCAAACCAATTTATTTATTCTTTCATTTATTGTGTGCAGTTCAAGATGACGAAAATACAAAGTTTAGTGTATTCGAGGATAAAAATTTATCAGAACTTTGATTTTTTATTGTTAAAAATTTTGCATATCGATGCATATTTGGCATATATTGGAGCATACTTCTTAATATTTTGTGCATATTTTTGTGAAAATACGCGCATATATAAGGGCATATTTTACGAATTTTTCGTGCATATAATCCGAGCCTTAGTAATGAAAAAATGAAATTGATGACGCACCGGTCCACCCTCCTGATTTTTACTATACACAGAATTGTTTAAAAACCATTGAGTAGTCGTTGTATTTAGTAGATGTGGTCATGGTTACTTCTACAACCAAACTTTAAGTTTGAAATTTACTTCAAAATTCTAAATTATGTTTCGGTCGATTATATTCTTCGCAGTGTTTTTGTGCGTAAATGGTGAAGGAAAATTTGATCCCACAAAGGTGGATTATTGTAAGTTAAAATGTAATAAACTAAAATCTACTGGTTGCGATTGCAAACAACGAGGAACTCGAAGCGAAATTTTAGAGAAAATGATAGAATTTCGTCAATTATGTGTGGACTATCATAATTACTGGCGAAATTTCCTTGCTTCTGGTAACGAAACTCGCGGCTTTGCCAAACCAGCTGCCAACATGGTGGTCATGAACTATGACATGGAGCTTGAATACTTGGCACGATGTTGGGGAAGAGGCCTTTTTAACGGATATCACGATAAATGTAGATTGATGAGCAACGGTAAAAGAGCAGGACAGAATATCGCTGGAGTAAATGTTAAAGACCCCAGTATGAATAGGGTAAAAATTGGCATCAGAGTAGCTTGGTAAAAGCTTGAAACGGTTTGATCGGTCCTGAATTTTTTATTTCGCAGGTATGACGAAGTCAAAGACATGCAGGAAGATATTTATGAGAAACTCAATTCAGTGGAAAAGTATAACATTGGACACTTTACAGCAATGTGTTGGTGGAGTGCGAATCGTGTAGGTTGTGCTCGAATTTATACAGCAGATACAAAAAAAGAAAAATTTATACATCCGATTTATGTAACAGCGTTAATTTGCAACTATTGTACGAAGGATCTTAAAGGAGTAATTAACTTAATAAACGGGCGGATGTACATCCAAGGGCCAGCGTGTACCAAATGTCCCGAAGGTGAAAAATACAACAAATGCAACAAGAACTTCACCTCTTTGTGTGGGGAATTAGAACCGGTGCCGACCGAAAAAGAGTGGGATTTTGATAAAGCTAAAGCTCCAAAACACAAATCCTTTCCAATAGTCATTTTCATTGGTTTATTGGTGGTTTGTCTCTTCTAAGAAACAAACTGTTTGAATTTTCTGATGCTTTTGTAACGACAAATTCAAGTATTTTGTAATAAAAATTTCTGGGAAAATAAACCATGTCTCGAATATTCGTTTTTGTTAAAAATATTGATGGGCACCGACGTTTTATATTTTCAATGAGTGCATTAACAAAAAACTTGATAAATTAAGCGTTTTAAAAGCAATACAAATAACATAAAAAGTTTTTCTCAGGGCTTCTATACAGAGTTGGTAAACTCCAAAATTGACCTTCAAAGGATCAAATTTTAATGGATGTATATAGGAAATTGATAGTGTATCACCTAAAATTGTTTTCAACTATAAAACATATCCCAAAAATAAGTTACAATACAAACTTGTGTTTTTTAAATGAAACTGAATGAAAATGAAACATACAGTTTTTTATTTAAAGAAACACAAGTTTGTATTGTAACGTATTTTCGGGACACGCTGTATAGTTGAAAATAATTCAAAGGTCACTATGGACTTTACCAAATCGCTGGGGCACTCTGTACCTACATACAGAATGTCCCAAATCTCCCTCTTTCTTCGATTACTCTGACAGTAAAGAAGATAACGAAATGCGGTTTTTTTTGGACGACAGACTTTTATTTTTTCTATGATCCAAAAAATTTTTCGTCATTATAGGGGATTCCTATATAGGGTGGCGCAACAAACTTATTATTTTTTCTTATAGTACACTCAGTATATTATGCGTTGGTTGAAAAAGATTTTTATTCCAAGAAAATCCATATTAGGTTTTATGGATCTATCATATGCCGTTTATCATTTATGAGCGATTTTATGAAAAACAAATGTTATTTTTCAAAAATCACAGCGATTTTCCTAGAAAGAAAAAGTGTATAAGTCTGGTCCTAAATTATGGTCCTAATTTATTATGGTTGGAATTGGATCAATCTTTTGCAACTACTGCAGAGTGTCGACATTTGTAAAATGTCAATAAACTTGATTTTCTCAAATGAAACACTCTGTATGTTATTACTTTATCGGACAAAAAGAAAATGTAAAATATAAATTATTCAACTGCGTATTTTTTTTGTACAATACATGTTTAAAAATAATATCTAAATAATACTTTTTCTACTAAAATAATATTAAAAATTGTTATTTGAACAAACAGCGAAAAATTAAATATTTTGTCACGTATTAACACCGAGTGATTCAAAAATTTTAATCGAGCTCAATTTATTATGTTAATAAAAAAAATGTTTATTACGAAATATTTTGTTAAATTAAAAAAAACAAGAAAAATTTGAAATTTTATATTATTTTTATGTTATACTGGATGATTCAAATAAGTTAGTTTCAAAATAGTACAAAATACTATGCGTTCAATTCAATTTCTGATCAAAGTGATCTACCATTTTGAAATTAAGTTGACATTCGAGACTTGTCAATTTTCATACCTTTTGTCTCTGCATATTCAGTGTTGCCAACTTGATTTTAAGGTCACACACCACTTGGAATTTGTTTATACTGGGTGATTTAGCAAAAATATGACATATGAATTATTCATATATTTAAGCAATATTTTTTCGACTAAAATAAAATTAAGAATTGTTTTTTACAAAAACCATTTGCAAAAATTTAAAAATTTTCATGTATAAATACTGGGTGATTCAAAAATTATAATCGCTTAAACCAGTCTCAAAAAAACTATTAAATAAAAGATATTTTGGCAATTTTTGAATTATTGTTATGTTCTTGTGTAGCCACAAAATGATAATCATTCAATTAAATTTCTGATCAAAGTGACCTGTGTCTCTGAAATCAAGTTGACATTGAAAACTTGTCAATCTTTATACATTAATCAGTGTTGCCAACTTGATTTCAAAGTCACAGCCCACTTTGATCTTGAATACTGGGTGATTGATCTAATTTAAAATTTTGAAAAAATAGTTTTTTAATCGACGAGTTCGGGGATGGTAAACCACTTGTTACACTCGTGTTTTAAAAATCCACTCGGTCAAATAAAGCGTCCGATTTACACTCAAACGAGTTGAATACAACATTTTATTCTTCAAATTCAACATGGCTTAAATTTGCTTTAAATCTGTTAAAAATAATTTGACGTTTCGTATTGAGAAATTCCAAACAATTGTCAAAAGAGAAAAACCGTAAATTTTGACAGAGTCGAAGAATAAATTATATTTAATAGTTTATTTTAGAAAAATATTTTGTGTGCACTTTTTAAGATTTTTTTTTTATTTACAGTAAATATTAAAACCAAACCTGCCCTTGAAGGTTTCAGTGAAAGTCTTGTAAAATTACCACACTCTTATGTTTCCAGATAATGGAAAAACTCGTCTTGAGCAACACACCAATAAAATTCTTTAAACAATTTTTTGCTTTAATAACAACACAACAAACATGTTTTGATCGTAGATAAAACATAATAAATCACTTCTGGCCCAAAACACGTCACTTTTCAGTCCTCAAAATAAAAAAAAAATTGAGTATTCAACAATTAGCATACAGTGAGTGCATCGAAGGTCCCCCGTGTGAACAAATATTGTATTCGCATAAACAATTTTTTACAACTTGTAAACCGACTTTTTCCAAGCCAAGGAAAGCAAATTACTCCAACTTTTCCATTCTAGTAATAATAATAATAATGGTTGAAAAACGTCACACTCAACCTTTGCTGCATTTTCTTCTTTTACATAACGAAATCGACTGAAAGTCTTGGAATAACAATAGCTGAGAACTCGCTCTATTTTATTACATTCCCAAGCATTTCCTGTTGATAAAAGTCGCACTTACGGCCTCCAATTGCGTCGCTTGGTTGACATTCGTCTCAAAATCCCATTGGGCGGCGACATTTCTTGTGCATTCCTGCGAGCCTTGAAGATCCAGAGCTTGCAGCAAAGCTCTCACATCGCTGGTTGGGCCTCGATCCAAGTTGGCTTGGTTGAACCTGTTATCGTCCACGGGTTCAAACCGGTTATCGAAGTCTTGTGGGTTGTAATTGGGGTTGTTGTATTGACGCGAGTCGAGATTTTGTGTGTTGTAATTGGGGTTGTTGTATTGGCGCGAGTCGAGATTTTGTGTGTTGTAATTGGGGTTGTTGTATTGGGGGTTTTGGGCTAGGACGAGGCGAGTGAGGAGCACAATTGTGACAAACTTTCGATTGTTACTAATATCGCACATTTTAAGCTTGTGTTGCTTCAATAAGTCGCATATTCAAACTGACAATTGTCGGCGTGGTATCTTCTTGATTACACACACGTGAGAACTTTGAGTGAGTGGGAGGGGCGCATTTTACCTTGTCCTGGCCTGGGCTATTGTCGCTTTCACGCGATTGTTTTCTTTACTGGTAATGGGACTAATGGGACTGCCCGTTTTCGAACGAAAGGTGTGCTATGGGTTCGAGTTTTTCTGATTCATCGAGAATTTGAAAGTTCGAATTCTTCTACATTGAAAAAAAAAATTACATTTTTTGTTTAATTATGCTTCGTTAATTTAATTTATTCGATTAAATTTTTAAAATTTTAAATTATTATATTAATATACAGGATGATTCAAATTTTATTGTATCTGAATTTTTTAAATGAATAAAAAAACATTACATAAAACTGTTTTTATTGAGTAAAAAAATATTAGTACTATTTAAACTGGTTATCAAATTTTTAAAATTTTATATTGCTATACAGGGTGACTCAAGTTTTACCGCTTCGTTAAATTTTATATTGTTTTTATTTTTATTTGGAGTTGGAATAATTAAAATAATATACAGGATATTAAAAAAAATGTAAAATACTTCAGGAGGTAATAGTATGGACCAAAACAAACAAAAATGTTTTAATAAACATAGGTTCCCAAAATAACGGTTTTAGAGATATCAAAAGTTATTCGTTTTTTGAAACATTTATTTGCTATCTGCTCAAACAAAAAAGAGAAGCTTTTAGTAAAAATTAAAAAAAAATATATTCGATATCTCCAAAACCGTGTTTATTAAGAATTTGTTGTTTATTTTGGTGCATACTGTCTCCTTAGCTTTTAAATATTTACAATCTTTTTTTAACTGCCTGTATGTACTAGGCTGAGATTTTTAACAGAATAAAAAAAAATATTACTTGGAACTGTGTAATTATGGAACTGTGGAATTATGTAAAAAATATAATTTGAACTTGTTATCAGAAGTTTTAAAATATTGTATGGCTATACAGGGTGACTTAAGTTTTACCGCTTCGTACAAAATGACACTTTTTACTTAAGCTAGAATTTCAAAAAATGTTACTTTTTGGTTACATTTTATTGTTTTTATTTTTATTTGGTGCTGGAATAATTAAAATAATATACAGGGTGTTAATAAAAAATTGTAAAATATTTAAGGCGAAGTAACGATTTTAATTTTGCTAACCCATCTTTATTAAAACTTTTTTGTTTATTTTGGTCCATACTAGATTACTTCAAAAAATTAAAGAAACAAAAAATTTTCTTAAATTTTTCGGTGATTTTTGAAAGGCTGTAACACATTGAAAAATGGTCGTATCTAGATTTTAAATAGAACCATTTTGATCCTTTAAGTTTCTAGTTTTGAGATCTTTTTAAAAATATTTTTTTTACCTTTAACATTGATTAAAAGTTTTTGCGTTGTTTTAGTAAATCTACCGCGTATTCACCAATATTGAATGAGAGACTAATGTTTTTAGGTGTTTTTACATCTCAAAGTATCTCTCACAGCCCTGTTAATTTTTAAATCACTCCATCAAATCGTTTTCTCGGACCGATTGATCAAAGTTTTGCAAAAGAATTAAAGAAACAATTATACAAATTGTTTCTGAACATCGTCTGATTTTCGCCAAGATAAAAAATTATTTTTTTTTTTCAAAAACTAAGCAGTATTATTTCTTAAATGTTTCTCTGTGTGGTCAGCAATATTATTTCTTAAATGTTTCTCTGTGTGGTCATTGGTTGCTCAGATATCGACGATCAAAGACAAGAGTATCCTTTTTCATTTAAAGTCAGATATCTCAGCGACAAATTGTCGTAAAGAGAATATGAAGAAAGCATATTAAAGGTAAACAAACATGCTATACGGCCTATAAATTGACTTAACTAAAAAAAATCTCCACGTCCGTGGACCAAAAACAAAAATATGAGAATTTAGAATTTTTTGTTCGCGTTATTACTTAGAATTACGTGAAAACCGTAGCACAGAAAAAATATCTGTCAAAAAATCTTAAATCTAGAAACTAAAGCATCGAAATGGTTTTATTTAAAATCTAGATACGACGAGTTACAGCTTATCAAAAATCACTTAAAAATTTAGGAAAATATTTTGTTCCTTTAATTTTTTGGAGCCCTGTATGTAGTAGGTGATTCATTTTTTTTACGTCTGAAATTTACAATTTTTTTAACACCCTGTATGTATTAGGTGATTCAAATTTCCTTACGTCTGCGGTTTCTAACTGTTTCAAATCGTTTTTATCTAGTCACTTATGGAATTCCCTATAAAATAAAAAATGCCGCTTTAAAAAATATTGAATTTAATTAACTTCAAATGTTAATTTATTTCGATTGACATATGTCACTGTTGACAGAAGTATCTAGTTCAAAAAGAGTAGAGTGGTACCGAAAAAAAATACAACAGAGAAATTTCATAGGCGACTAGATGAAAATCATTTTGAAATACGTTGCGGTACTTAATAACATAATTGTGTTTTAATTAAGCAAAAAAATATTATTTAAACTAGTTATTAAAATTATTGTAAATTATTTTGTTGTTATACAGGATGACTCAAGTTTTACCACTAAGTGGAAAATGACACTTTTTACTTAAACTACAATTTAAAAAAAATTAAATTTAAAAAATACATATATTTTCAAAAATCGTACAAAAAACAAACTCTCAAATTTTCAAACTACACTTATTTTTGATTAATATTCAGGCTGGCTCATGTTTTAGAGTCTCTATTCTCTGTTAGAGCAAAACTTAAAATTGTGTATGTATTTAGTTGTTTTATTTTATATTATATAGGCTGTTCGTTTTTCGAGCTTTACCATGGGGATCTCAGTTATTATAAGAGATACGATTTTTTTTGGACGTCATATTTGATTTCTGTATTTTTGAAAAGTCTTTTTGTTCCCGATTACAACGATGTCTCACACTATATTATCAAATTTTACATGCTGATCAAAATTAAGAAAAAGCGTTTTTGCAAAGAGTGTTTTGGAAAAAATGCCAACAATTTTAACTAACAAACTAAATTTTGACAATTTAATTAAATTTGGATCTGGAAGTCACATTTCCTTCAAGCTTACCTACTTAAAAACAAAGGTTTTGAAATAGGAACAACGTGATAAATTAGAATTTATATTTCACAAAAAAAAACAAAAAAGATGCTCGAATGCACTAGCTTCAAAATTTAGTTTGTTAATTAAAATTGGTGGCATTTTTTCCAAAGCACTCTTCGCAAAAACGCTTTTTTTAATTTTGATCAGCATGTGTTTCGTGTATCGTTATAATCAGGAACAAAAAGATTTTTCAAAAATATAGAAATCTAATATGGCGTCCATAAGAAAATACAAACTTGAGTGTTGTAAATCTGACAACAAGAGCGACTTGGATTATACTATGACAGATTTAGATTTTTTGTAAGAAAGTGCCTTAACAATCTCCTAGTTATAAACGTCTAGGTCTTTTAGTTTTTGCTTAAAAAATAAAAACAAAAAGTAGAAATTTTCGTTTTTATCCCATAATTCAAAAACTAAAAATGCTACATTAAATTTACTTTCAGATAATTATTCAGCATAAAAATGCTCAACTTTGTTCTAATTTAACCTATCTCGTATCTCTTATAATAATTGAGATCTCCATGGTGGAACTCGAAAAACGAACACCCTGTTTAAAACCAATTGTAATAGTATCTTATTTAAAGTTACAAATACAGAATAGCTGATTTCTAGAATTTCTAGAAATAAAACTGTCTAATTATTGTAAATTGTGTAAAACATTTTGTATAACCCAAATTTTGAAAATAGAGTAACCATTGTTTTTCCAAAAAAAAAATGACAAAATGTAGAATTCTTGTGTTAATTAGTAATTTTATATACCGGGTGATCCATGTTTTAACACGACACTTAACAAAACTTTTGAATGTAAGTCCTCCGGGTATTGACATACTTTCCCGTTTGATTGTAATATACTATTGACTGCTTTTAAGCAAAAAAATATTTTTACTTACAATAAAATTACATTAACGCTTTTTTGTAAGTTTATTTATATAATATTTGAAATTTTTTGTTATATCGAGTGATTCAGATTTTATAATTGTGTTTAAAAAGATGTAAAACTTAGTTAATGCAGAAAAAAAATTTGAAAACTTTGAAATAAAAAAATACTTTATTTTAATTTTTTTGTTAGTGTTGTCTCAGATTTTATCTTAATTAATTTTATCTTCTTACTCAAAGAAATTCTAATTGAGCTCAAAAAAAAATATTTTTTTTAACATTACACATTATTTATTTTGCAATAACTAGAGATGCGATTTTTTCGCCATTGCAATACTTTCTTTACTGGTACAGTCGTTCGAAACTTGTTCTCACCTAACATTTTCCCATAATAAGTATTCTATTGTCTAGAGGATTTAAATATCTGGTCTATTTAAAAACTTTTGATTTCACTCTCACATCCGCCAAAATTCTTATTTCTGTATTTTTTATCTCTAGATTAAATTGATGTTTATCTATTCAAGAAGCACCGTTATTTATTATTATTATTGTTTTTGCAGGGCAAATATAGTAGATAATAATTTGATTTTTGACCTTTGTCACTACTTATACATCACCATCTAATTGGTCTGCGTTACTCATTATTACGTGACAAGTGTATTCATTTAATGACTGATGATTTATAGCACAATAATGGTGTGTTTATGAATTGTATCATGACTAAACTTAATTCAATCAGAAATGAAAATTTGAAACTCATTTCTCGTCTCGTTTTGTTAATTAATTGAAGAATTAATGTTTTGCCAATTAGTGGCGACATTTGCATTGAAAAAGCCCACTTTTTCGAAAAAACTTCTAAAAATAAGCTCTTTGTTCGTCTAATTGCGTCAACCTTCAAATCCGAAGCATTTACTTCACATACGAATAATTACAGTATCCACAATCTCATGCAAAATCATATGTTTAGAATTAACATGATGAATAGAGAAGATTTTGCAATTTGTTCTTGAACATAGGTTTGACAGAAGCCATTGTCCCTTCAAACACGAACAATAGATCAATTCAGGTATTGACCCTAGAAAAAAATTCACACAATTTGGAAAAAAATTGTAATTAAACGCACAATTGTCCTCTTCATCCTTGATTTTTTAAATTTTCCGCGTTGTGATGCTCGGAATTTTAGCCGCGAGATAAAGTTTGCGTGAAACAGTTTTTCCGGCTATTACTTAATGAATTTGTTGCTAATGTTGTTGTAATTAGTTACAATATCGCTTATTTATGTGAGAATTTGGGAAAAAATTTAGTTTGTTTAATTGAGGTCTTTTGAATTAAAATGGAGCGTTTTTGGAGATAATTATAGACTAGGAAAGTAAATAACTCGTGTTTTGTCTAAACACTTTTTACTTTTCTCATTCTTGAGGAATTTAATGACAATTTAATTCTTTCCTGTGTTACCTGAAACAAACAAACATTAAACATTTTTTTTACTTATCGATTCACAAATTTTGTTCAAAATGCCAAGATAAAAGTTTCTAAAAAAGGCAAATTATACAATTTTTTTAATTAAAATTTCTGTTTTTCGAATTTTTATATACAGTATGTACCCGGATTGAGTTTACAAAAGGAAAAAAAATATCTTTGATTTTACGCCAAAACTGCAAAGGAAAAAAAGTTTTTGCTTTACTGGAAACCAGCAAATCTGTAATTAAAACTTCATTATTCTAACTCAGTACAAAGAAAAGTTCATTTTTCTCTGCTTTTTAAGTCTTATCAATTATTTGACAACTATATGTAACTTTGACAATTAATTTATTAATTAAATAATGATAGTTCTTGTTAAAAATGACTTTGATTTTTACCTTTTAAAGCTGTTTCTTTGAGTTGCTGTTTATTAAAATTATGTTTTTCACAAACATTTTTGTTATTTAACTTGCGAAAACTCATTTGTCAAAATAATAAAACCGCCAATGTGATGGGACTTAAAAAGCAGAGAAAAATTATTCTAAGTCCAAAATCAAGAGAAAAATAAACTTTTCTTTCTACTGAGTTAAAATAATGAAATTTTAATTACAGATTTGCTGGTTTCAAGTAAAGCAAAAACTTTTTTTCCTTTGTAGTTTTGGCGTAAAATCAAAAATAAGTTTTTTTTCCTCTTGCAAACTCAATCCGGGGACATACTGTATTATACAGGGTGTTCCATTTTTATTGTTACAAATTTAAACAGGTGGTAGGATATTCAATTCTAAGACAAAAGTTTCCTATAAACCTGTATCGAAAAGGATTCAAACATCAAATGACGAAATTTCTAATCAGGGGCGTCCGAAACTGGTGGGGTTTAGGGTAAAAAAATACCCTATCTATTTTGGCTCTAGTTTCTTTAGTTATGCATTGACTAAAATGGTGGTCACTTTGAATAACTCCTTTAGATTTAGGTAAGTTCATTTAATTAATGTTATTATTGTTACTGTAATGTAATGTTAATTAGTTGAGGTTGATTAAAAAATATGAATTTCTTGCTTTTGTATTCTGTAAATTCTGAGCTATTTAAATGTTGTATTGGTGTGTAACATAAATTTTAAATTAATTTTATTCAAAAACAATAAGTCGTATCGACACAAGAGAGACTTTTCTGTGATAAACTATCGAACTTTTGTTGCTGAAAGTACCGAGAAACTAAAGCCAAAATAAATAGGTTATTTTTTTACCTTAAACTCCCCCAGTTTCGTACGCCCCTGATTAAAAATTTCGACATTTAATTCGTTCAGGTGTATAAAGATTATCATCTGTACCAAATTTTGTAATTTTATCTTAAATGGTTTCTTACCAAGAATTTTTCGATACATGTTTATAGGAAACTTTTGTCTTAGAATTGAATATCCTATCATCTGTTTAAATTTGTAACAATAAAAACGGAACTGTATAGTGTATCAAAATTTAAACATTTTAGACCATGCGTATGTAAAATGATTCGGTGAAACCAAAAAATTCTAAATATGTAGTTTGAAATTATCAATGTTATTTTTATTTTAAATTTTCATTCACATGACGATAGGTATAAACACACAACATAAACAACAAATTTAGGTTCTAGCTTTTTTTGTTAGATTTATATTGTTTTGACTTTTGGATCTTAAAAAAAATCTAATCATAATTATTCTATCTACCTCATAGGTTGTACATATGTACTAATTAGAAAGCTCACAGGTTCCATTTAAATTTAATTTAAATTTTTGCATATAATTCTATAAATTAAAATTTTTACAATCGGAAATATTACAAATTTATGCAATTGTGGACTCAAAATTTTGGACATCAAGTTATGTCAGTTCAAAAAATATCAACGTAAGCCACGCTTTAGTGTCATTATGATTGACGTTTGGATCTAAAACTTGAAAGTTATAGTTGAAATTTATTTTTAGCGTGGATTTCCTAATACATACAATAATGCCAGCAGTTGAAGTACGTTTTTTATATAGTTATTATTTTTTTATTATTTTGAATTATTGTCATTTTTATTTAGCTGTTAGCATGAAAACTACAAAAATAAAAAAAAGTTGCACATAAAGTCAGTTTTACATTTTATGTCAATGACAAATCGTTCAAAATTTTGTATCCGTACATCTAAATATCTAATTAACAATGCGCACTATAAAATTCATATTCTTTGGAGGGGCATTTATGATTTTTTAAGCTAGGTTTTTTTAGTTTAAAAGTGTACTTGTTTTGCATTGCAATTTTTTGTCATTGACCACATTTATGGGTACCACTAACCGTAGAAAAATGCGAAGTTTTCATTTATAGTTATGTCTTATAAAAAAAAAAAATTATAATAGGCCGAATCATTTTTTATGAAGAACACGATAAATTAAAACGATCTCTTCAATATTTTTTTTTCATAGTTGCCCCGCTAAAAAACTATTTGTTTTAGACTTCTGGTGAGCATTTGTTTAAAAGTAATAATTTTTTTATATACGCTCTCGAAACAAGCTGAGTCTTTGCTGGACCCAATAAAATAGTATGAAAAATGGTTATATTAGGTACATACTCAATACCCAAAATGCAGTTTTTCAGAATGGATAAGTCAATTTAGTTACTATAGTGGCGAAATTTGTTTAATTAATAATAGGTGTAAATTTGTTGTATAATAATTATTTTGTCTGATTATTATTGCTATTTATTCTAGTGGTAAAAGCAAAGAACTAGGAGGCATTTTTGGGCAAAATTATTATTATTATTATTTATTACATGGTGTTTGTTGAATTTGCTAAGAATTAATATTTTGTAATAAATATCAAAACCCTAACACGAATCTTTAGATCTACCGTTAAATATCGTGACTTTTACATCAATCACAATATCTCAAAAACTAAACACTTTTAAAAAAAAGGCCAATAGAATCGGCCTATAGAATTTTCTTTTAAATTATCTTACAAAAACCAAAATTGATTACTTGAAAGTGACTGAGTAAAGTAGTTTTCAAAGTCACCATTTATGCATTTTTGTTCTTTTTTTAAAAGTATTAAATTTTTTTTAAAAATCTCAACGTATCGGCCTGTAGATTTAAAAAACCTTGATTTTGATGTACAATACATGAAATTCTGTTGCATATTAAGAGAGTAATCTTGTTTTCAATATACGAATGTCGCGGACACCCTTAAGTAGGCGTTCTATTATGTAGTTCTGTGGCCATAGTTACTATTACAAACAAACATAAAGTTTGAAATTTACTTCAAAATTCTAAATAATGTTTCGGTCGATTTTGTTGTTCGCACTGCTTTTGTGTGTAAATGGTGAGAAGGAAAAATTTAAACCCAAAAAGTCGGAATATTGTACGAAAAAATGCCCCCCCAATCTTAAATCTACTGGTTGCGATTGCAAAAAGCAAGGAACTCGAAGCGAGGTTTTAGAGAAAATCGTAGAATTCCGCCAAACGGTTGTGGACGAACACAACAAATTACGAAATCTCCTCGCTTCTGGTAACGAAACTCGCGGCTTTGCCAAATCGGCTGCCAACATGTTGGTCGTGAACTATGACATGGAACTTGAATATTTGGCACGATGTTACGGAAGAAGTTTATTTAACGGATTTCGCGATAAATGTATGATGTTGGAGAATTGGGAAATAGCAGTACAGAATGTCGGTGGTTCAAGACCTAAAGACAACAGTTTTGATGAACTGATAAAAAAACTGATCGTTCAATGGTAAAAACTTGAAACTGTTTGATCAGTTCTGATTTTTTTATTTCAAAGGTATGACGAAGTCAAAAACATGCAGTCAGAGATGTATAGTAAATTTGGTCAGGTGGGAAAGTATGCCGTTTCAAGCTTTACAAGAATGTGTTGGTGGTCTGTGAATCGTATAGGTTGTGCGCGAATTCATACAGCAGATACGAAAAAAGACAAATTTACTCAACCGTCTTTTGAACAAGCTTTAATTTGCAACTACATTGCGAAGGATATTGGCGGACTAATTAGGACTGAAGGTGAACCGGTATATACGGAAGGACCACCGTGTTCAAAATGTCCCGAAGTGACTAAATACGACAAATGCAACACAAAGTACACCTCTTTGTGCGGAGAATTAGAACCGGTGCCGACCGACAAACCGTATGCTTTTGAATCTAAAGCACCAAAACACAATTCTATTCTAATAGTCATTTTCATTGCTGTATTGGTGCTTTGTCTCTTCTAAGAAACCAACTGTTTAAATTTTCTGATGTTTTGTAACGACAAATTCAAGTATTTTGTATTAAAAATTTCTGTGAAAATCAACCATGTTTTGAATGTTGGGTTTTGTTAAAAATATTGACGTAAAAGCCATGGGCACCGACTTTTTAAATTCTCAATGTGTGCATTAACAAAAAACTAAATTAATCGTTTTAAAAGCAATAACATAAAATAGTATATTATGATACGAGTTTTATGAGAAGCACTTTGTCGCACGCACGAAGCAGCAAGTGCGACAAAATACCTTATAAACGTAATATCATACAGTACCAAACATAAAACGTTGGGAATAATGAATACATAATTTTGAAATTAGCGCCAAATGATCAAAATTTTGAAAAAATGGCAAAAATAAAAAAAAATCAAAATTGAAACAAACACTGTTTTTGGGCTCCTAATAATTTTAATAATCTCAAAAAGACACAAAACAGTATTTGAGTGTTCCAAGAAGAGGAGTCGACTAGAAAACTGGAGAATTCTAAATATTTTAGAAGTTATTAACGTATTCTGAAATTACCAAATTTTGCATAATTTTGAGTTTTCTCAATACCAATTAACCGCACAAAAATATTGTTTTTTTTTGTAAAATAGAATAATGCAGTAAAGTCTGTTTTTTTTTAAATGGAAATTACGTCAAAAAAAATTAAGTCAAAATTTTGGTGAAAAAATTGGTATACCATATTTCAGTGGATAATAGAATTCTCAAGGTCACAATTTACGAGTGTACTCAACGTTTATGCACAACGAAGTAACCTTGACAAAAAACACTGATCACTTTTGACAGCATTTTGACATTTAATGACAATCTACGAACAGCTGGTGTTTTAATTAGTAAATCTTGAGTTTATTTATTTGAATTGATTTTAATGTGCTCCTTAACGGAAACCGAAGAGACTACAATACATCCTATTTGATTTGGATATTTAAAATAACCCAAAACATGAGAGTTTGAATATTATTTGAACGAGTTGTATTGAGCTCCAATTTTGGTTAAATAACTCAAAGGTATAAGAAAAATGTTTTTATTTTGAATTTAGTCATAAAAGGTAATTGCAAATGTATCAGACATAATTAACTCAGATAGAAGCATCTGCAGGCAACGTCAGTAGAATGTGGAAATTGTATCCAACAAGATTCGTTCTTGCTCAAAACCAAAGAAAGGATCAACTTGGGTTTGTTTCCCCTTAGATTGGCCTGCTTGTGACTTTATTCGTAGGAGCAAAAATTTCTTTTAAATGATTTGATGAACTGCAGAACTATCGTCACACTAAAGAATTATGCCAATCCTCCAACATACCAAGACCAAAACACGTTGTATCACAAACTCCTATCACTGAAGCACAAAACTAAATTTGTGATTGTTAACTATTAGTCCTTAACAAACCTTTGAAATTTACCAAAAGGTAATTGTTATGTACTTGCGTTGGGATAGGTGTAAGAGAATAATCTGATCCCCTTAAAATAAAAATGCCTTTTTTCTCACAAGGTCTAGGCCCGACTCACTTCAGCGGACAAGGACGCAAAGAAACAAAAAACAGATAAACTGCTGATACACAGCAGTAATAAAACAATCTAGTTATCCAGTATAAGTCAAATATCAACGAAATATTTGGAGGGTTTTCCGATTTTTGGTCAATCAACTAAACCACTGCACCCCTAAAGGTTTTCTTGAGGCAACTGCGTTTCAGTTGGGAACAATAATTAAAATGTTTGTTATTATCAATAACGATCTTTGATTTATTAAGAAGAACCAACCTTTTGTGCAACATTCAAGTTTTATTTGTAAATTGATAACTGCCACAAATACCATGGACATGATTCTAGCAAGAAAATATGCTTTTCTTCTTACAAATCTTTCATATCAGAAGTTCGATCAACGTTATGAACAAAATTCTTGCACTTGGGTTTGGTGTTCCAACTTTTAACTTTATCGACATTTTTTTATCGGAGGTAATCGGAGTTATTCACTGATGTTTCATCCAAAAACAAGCTTCGGCTTAAAATGTATTTTATTACTTGAATGTTCTGAATAAAGCACGCGATTGTGCCTTAAAATTTTATTAAACCCCAAAACCATCGTACATAATCTTTAATTTCAATCTGACAGAAAAAAACAGTACTGCCACATTTAAAAAATAAAATAGAAAATTATGACTACGGGAGTCAACACAACTTTGGTAAAATCGCTAAAAACCCTGTTTATCAAATTCTACTATCAACTGAAATAGATAGTATCAGCTTGTCTCCATAGCCACAAATTTTGTTTGCTCTTTGTTTTTGTCTCTAGAAGTTTTGTTAAAAAATTATGGTTATGTGTTCCAGTTGAGATGTTGTCAAAATTGTGACTTTTATGAATCTTGTGTGCCGGTTTGCTCTTTGAAAGCGCTATAATTGATTACCTGAGGACAGACATCATTACCTAAGGTCTAATTACAGAATTCAGTGCTAATAATTTTAATAGAAACACACAGCAAGTAAGTACAATGTTGTGGACAAAAATGAGATTCTTGCTACAAAAACTTTGAAGAAAAAGGATGTATATTTTCTGTATAAAAAAGTTATTTAGCAAAAGATACAAGTAGGTATTATGATGATTGGCAATAAATTTTGTGTAATTTATTGAAATGAGCTCAAAGTTGATGCACTTTATAAATTCTTCTTCAGCTTTAGTTTCAAAATTGTTACTTTTTCAACTCGTTCCTTAAAAACGATGCTCAAGACACTAATTTAATTGTGTTCTTTTCGAGGTTCTTTCTCATTCATGTTTATTTTGTATTCTTGTCAATTTTTTGATGAAAATTAAGAATGTTTAGCAAACCTGCATTACAAATTGCATCTACATTTTACCGGGCCTGTTTTCTAACTTCCTGCTTGCGAACTATTTGTTTCCAAATTTCGAAAAACTGGTAGTGTACCGAATTTGTTTCTTTTTTGGTGTTTCGAATCTAAATTTTCTTAGGCGATTTTTTGTGTTGACGTTTAATGACATTGTCTTTAAATTAATTCAAAAAACCGGAACTGCCAACTTTCTTTATTAAAATTACCATGAATGAATTTACTAGTGATGGCAACGTTAAGACTGTTTAGCATTTCCATTAAAAAAAAAGAACAGACTTTAGACACTGAACAGGCAGCACCTATCACCTGACAAAGAATTGCCTACTTTTAGATATTGTGGCTTCTGCAGGAAGAGCGATGGTTTAGCCCCAGTCCCAGGTCGGATTCATGTGAAAAATCCATTGTAAATTAATTTTGGGAACGATATTCGATCCATTTCGTTTTTAGAAAAGACTCTGTGTGATCCTCTAGTCAATTATTTGAAGATGATTTTTCACCTGCAAGTTTGTGAAGTTGCTTTCTTTCTGATGGTGTTCAAGTGCTCATAACGATTTTGTACGACAGATAAACGGTACCTACAGAAGTGTATAGGGTTTCACAAACGAATAAACACAGGTGCGTTTCAAATTTTGTTGGATATCGACTATGGCAAATTATGGACTGAATTCACAAGACTAAATTGTTTCAAGTAATGTAAATACCAACTATCAACTTATGTCTAACGTTTGGCTGAATTGAAACCACACTTTATGAAAATGACTCAAAATAAAGAAGAAAAAAGTGGAAACAACGATTCCATGTTTGTAGGTGTATTACGTATAGTCATCACAACAAGGCGGCAAATTTAACAAAAATTCCAGAGGTAACTTGATGCTCAGGCATTTATAAACACCTTGTATAAAACTCCAAAAAAACCATTACATTTCGAATTTCAATAAATTGTTCGTATTAAGTAGGCCTAACGTGCCAAAACGTCAAAATAGACGCATGGGAGTTTCCAAAAATCAACCGTTTTCTTGCTGTAATCCTTTGAAGAACTAAGTTTTTTAGATTTTTTGTGTTCAAAGACGTAATTGTGCTTCTTTGGTGCCATAGGTAATAATTTTGGGCCGTACCCAAGAGGGGGGGATTAGGGGGTTCAAATACCAAATATGAAGATAATGAAAGTTTGATAGTAAAATAATACTTTTTTGAAATTTTTTATTTTAAATTAAGACCAAATCAAAAAATAAATATATTTTTTAAATGTGTTTTTTTATTATTTTTTTCTTAGTTTAAAGAGTAGCTTCAAATTTTAGCAGTTCTAAAGGTTCTAATTTTTTTAAATAAGTAAATGTAAAAAACATCCTTCAAATTTTTTACAATGTTTTATTTATTACAACTTAATTTTCAATTATTAGAAAACTGATACATTTATTGTTTAAACTACACTATTAAAATGCTTCTAATTACACAAAACAATAGAACTGCAAACACAAAAAAAAACGTAATTTATTTTAATAATTCCATTTTGCGTCAATACTATTAGTTCAATTGAAACTCTTTAACTTTTAACTGACCTTCTCTTTATTTATGTTGTTACATCGAGAGTGCTTAATCTTATCACAATACTACATAAATATTTACTTAAACACATTTAGTTTAGTAAAACTACAAGTGTGCAGAGTTGACTATGGAAACAGTGAGGGACAAAGTAGCCCTTGTTACCGGGGGTGCTAGTGGTATTGGCTTTGCTATGGTTTGCGAGTTACTCAAAAATGGGACAAAAGTAAGTTTTTGACATTTTTCAAATAATTTTGACAATTGAGTGACACACAGGGTGTGTCAATAGTTGACATAAGTGAGGAGAGTGCTCAAACGGCACTAAGCGAATTGGGGGACGAACGAGTGACATTTATCAAAACTGATGTCAGTTGTAAAGAACAACTACAAGGTAAGGTTTTTGACAATTTTTCGTTTGACAATTTTTGGTTTTCGCAAAGCCGCCTTTGATAAAACCGTCGAGAGGTACCACCAACTTGACATTGTCGTCAACAATGCCGGAATCGTCGACGAAATCGACTGGAAACGCACAATTGACATCAATCTAGTACTCAAATTGTCAAATTTTGACAATTTTTAAGTGTCAAATTTTAGATTGCTGTGATCGAAGGGACGTATTTAGCGATACAGGAGTACCTCCCCAAATACAAATCGGGGGTTGAGGGGGTGATAGTCAACACTGCTTCAGTCCTAGGACTTTGCCCTCTTCAAAGTACCCCCATTTACAGTACTTCTAAAAATGGAGTCATTGGTTTGGGGAGATCACTAGGAGGTGAGAAATTCTACGACGAGTACCAAGTCCGGGTACTTACGATTTGTCCCGGATTTGTGGACACCCCCATGACTAGGGTAAAATCAAACCCGAGTAAAGCTTTATTCCCGGATTCAATGTCCGAAGATATCAAAAAAATTAATAAATTTGCCATAAAGTGAGTAAAAATTGTGTTTTTTGGTGTTGAAATGTGGTTTCAGGGCTGAAAAAGTGGGTCAGGCTTTGATCGAAGTGATAAAAATGGGTGAAAATGGGTCATTGTGGGTGGTGGAGGACGATGACCCTCCTTATCAGGTTGTGATACCTCACAGAAAATCAATGAAAGTGTAATTAATTGAATTAAAACTGTCTCATTATTGTTGAAATTGAAAATCCGGTTTTCATAATCTGAAATAAACCAATCGAGGAATTACACAGTTATTTTGTTTTCTACCTGTAGTAACATATTCCGGTTGACATCGAAAAGTCCGGTTCCGGTCAACCGGAGCGGCTCTTGTGCTTTCATCAACATGAACAAAATATGTTTCCGGATTCGTGAATCTTTTGCATTGTACCAATCAACTCCGTAAATAGCATCAACTAAACTTTCAGCCTGAAAAAGCTTCAAAATCACTGAAATCTAACCGTAAAACTTTTACTTCAATTTCAAGATTGCTGGCTGAAAGAAACGTGAAAGAGCTTTGCATGATAATACCAACCACATAGATGACTCCTAAGGCAAATTGACCAAAAGTTTGGGCCCTAAAACAATAAAAAAATATTTTTTTTGTCTCACTTATTGAGCAGGAAGAGTTCAATACATAACCCCTTGATTGATAGCAAATATTGGAGGAGAAAATATAGTCTTAATTTTTTTCTGTTCTCTGAAACAAGTTTTGTAACCCCAGACTTAAAAAAAAATTGGCTTTGGATTCTCTCATTTTAAGCGAAAAATTGTTTTTTTTTTCATAAAATAATACACGGTACCAAACATAGAACGTTGCGATTAATACGTTATTTCAAAGTTATCGCTAAATAACCAATATTCTGAAAAAATTGCAAAAACACTAAAATTAGGGGTGAAACAAACACTGTTTTTTGCGCTCCTGGTAACATTTAAAATCACAAAAATGCAAAAAAAGTGAAATTTTATATCACAATTATGGCAAAAGTATCAGAGTTATCACAAAATCGAATATAATAGTTAACAGCACCTCAAAATATATAAGTTAACATGGGTCTAAATATAACTTTTTACAATTTTTTTAACCAAAGTTTATAATTCTTACGAATTTTTTTGTCAGTTTTTTCGTAATTTGGCAAAATCATATTTAAAAAAATTAAACATTTTGCATCATACGGATGTAAAATGTTTCGAAGAGTCAAAAAGCGTAAGGAATATCAAAAAAATTCAAATAGTTTTGGGCAGATTGTTAAATTATCAATTTGTGTTTTTGCGTGATTTCTAAACTTTAAACGGAAAATAGATTTTTTTTCATTAAATACTACATTATAAAAGTTCTTTAACGGTAGCAAACATAAAACGTTGCAAATAATAAATACATAATTTTGAAATTATAGCCAAATGATCAAAATTTATAATAAAAAAATTAAAATTGGAATACTGTTTTTTGGGATCCTCATAATTTTAATAATCTCACAAATCTACAACACAGCATTTGAGTGTTCCGAGGAGTTCAATAAAAAACTGGAGAATTCTAAATACTTTAGAAGTTATTAACATATTGTGAAATTACCAATTATTGCCTAATTTTGGGTTTTCTCAATACTTATTAACAGCATAAAAATGTTTTTTTTTTGTAAAATAGTATAATAAAAGAGCTTTCCAACGGTACTAAACAGAGATTGTCACTACTGATAATATCAGAGTTATTGCCAAATGACCAAAATTTTGAAAAAATAAGAAAATTCTGAATTAGAATAAACATTGTTTTTGCGCCTTTGGCAATTTCATAAACTTGCAAATGCATACAACAGTTCCGAAAATTTTCGAATAGTTCAGAGGTTAATGACGGATTTTGAAATTACCGATTTTTGTCTAATTTTGCAAATTTCTCAATAACTATTAACGGCACAAAAATATTTCAAGATTGCTGGCTGAAAGAAAAGTGAACGAGCTTTGCATAATAATACCAACCACATAAATGACCAAAAGTTTGAGCCCTAAAACAATAAAAAACATTTTTTTGACTCACTTATTGACCACGAAGAGTTCGATGCATAACCCTTCGATTGAGAGCAAATATTGGAGGAGAAAAAATTCCGAAAAAATAGTCCTCATCTTCTTGTGTTCCCTAAAACAAATTTTGTAACCCCAGACTTGAAAAAAAAAATTACTTGAGTAAAAAGTTGTGATAATTGGCACAAATCTTTAATTTTTCCAAACACTTTCCTTCGTGTTTTTGGCTCGAGTCTTGACCAATTTCAATCGATTTCAGGTTTTTTTTCAGTAAGACAAACTGAATTTCAAGCTCAGCTCCCATGAGGAGGAATGTACCATCCATGATCACCGCCACTGGTATACTCTCGGATAAGCACACAACTTGCCAGAAATAGACCACAGCAGTGGCGTGCGTGAAATTGGGGACCCATGAAGCTTGCGGTAAATCAACACTTTCGGCAAAAACCGGAGTTAGGTAGAAATAAGCCAACATAAAGACACTAATAGCACTCAAACTCTTCATGACGGAGTCCCGGAAAAGCAACTTTTGGCGGAACTTTTGGCCCAAATTTTTGCCAAATTTCTCATAACTCCAGAATTTTTCCCGATCGTTGATTATGTTTTCGATCAAAGAGGCGTGTTTGAGGACTGCTAGTTTGCGACCAAAGACCTGGAATTGACATTTTGAGTGGTTTTTGAGGTTTTGAGGATAGTTATACGTGTCCATGGGTGGATAAGGCTTCACAAGTCCGAGCAATTTCGAAAATATCGTGATGCATGTATCGGAAATTGTAGACAATAAACGTGATTAGAGTGAACATGATGGGGGCTAGGACGTATTTGAGGAAATGTGTTTTGAGTGTTTTGTGGGTTGGAAGGTAGCCACTTAGCTTGAATATGGTGGAGACGTACAAGAAATGGTCGGGCATTTTGAGGAAATGGCTAATTTGTGTCGTGGAGGGTTTTTATAACAGGTGGAATTTTTATCTTTAAATAATTTTGTAGTTTGACCTAGAATCGAGCTGAATTTGCAACCAATCAATTGTAATTATTAACTAGAAGCAATTAAAAGTTGCTCGCGTTTCTTTTAGAGTTATAATTATTCGTCGTAAAAATTTTATTGGCTTGGAAGCGCGTCCAGATGATATTTTTGCAATTTTAATAAACTTTTTTGAAATCAAAAATTTGGTAAATTGATTTTTTTTCCAAACTTTACAGATATGACACTGTTTTATGGAGTTACTAGAGGTGAAAAAAACAGTTTTTGGTTCAATTTTATTTTCTTATTTTTACGATTTATTCAAAATTTTGGTCATTTGACTATAACTCTGGATTTATCAGTCGTAACATTCTGCTTGGTACTGTTAAAAAACTTTTCTAATTTTCTACTTTCCAAAAAAATCATTTTTGTGCAGTTAATACTTAGTTATGAAGAAAAATGCAAAATCAGTCAAGAATTGAAAATTCCAAAATCCGTCAATAACTTCTTAACTATCCAATATCCGGTTTTCTCAACGCTATTTAATTCCCTGGAACATTTCACAAAGTGGCATATGTATTTGTAAATTTGGGACATTGTAAGGAGCGCAAAAACAGTGTTTGGGTTTTACATTTTCGTATTTTTTCAAATTTTTGGTCATTGAGCAATAACTCCGGAATTGTCAGTAGTAATAATCTCTGTTTAGTACCGTTGGAAAACTTTTTTATTATACTATTTTACAAAAAAAAATCATTTTTGTGCGGTTAGGATTGAGAAATCCCAAAATTATACAAAAATTGGTCATTTGAAAATACGTTATTAATTTCTAAAATATTTAGAATTCCCCAGTTTTCTACTCAACTTTTTGGAACACTCAAATACTGCTTTGTGCATTTTTGATATTATTAAAATTATTAGAAGCCCAAAAAACAGTGTTTGTTTCAATTTTGATTTTTTTTATTTTTGCGATTTTTTCAATATTTTGATCATTTGGCGATAATTTTAAAATTATGTATTTATTATTCCCAACGTTTAATGTTTGGTATCGTTAAAAATCTTTTTTAATGTACTATTTTATGAAAAAAAAAATCCATTTTGCGTTTAAAGTTGAGAAAACTACAGAATTGATAATTTGAAAATTTGCCTAAATCTATTTAAAATTTTGGATTTTCCGTACGCCTTTTGACTCTTCGAAACATTTTACATACGTATGATGCAAAATGTTTAAATTTTTAAATACAGTTTTGCCAAATTACGAAAAAATTGACAAAAAATTCGAAAGAATTATAAATTTTGAATAAGAAAAAATGTATAAAGCTAGCTTAGACTCATGTTAACTTATAGATTTTGAGGTGCTGATTTACTATTATAACCGATCTTTTGTGAGAATCTTTTGCCGTAATTTTCATTTAAAATTTGCCTTTTTTGCATTTTTGTGATTTTTTGAAATCACCAGGAGCGCAAAAACAGTGTTTGTTTCAATTTTTTATTTTTAAAGTTTTTTCAAAATTTTCTTTATAAAATTCAAACCAATCAAATCAAGTTATTCATCAAACAACCCTCAGTTCAGTTAAATAATAACATCGCTTACTAACTTTTTGCTAATTAAAGAAAGATACACATACGAATATAACAGTGAGTTGCGGAAACATGCGTCGTCGGTACCAAAAGTGGGTAAGATTTTAAAACTTAGGTTTTAATTGTTAATTTTCTCAACCCATAACATTCTTCAGATCACCAAAAGGTACCAATCTGATCTGTCTTTTTCCATACCACAAAAACAAGATGTAGAATTATCGAAAATGTGGTTTTATAGTCCACGGAAGGTGTAAATACGAACATGCAGGGAACCAAGCGCGTTTTTTAATTATTTGCCTCTAGAAAATAATAATTAATATAAATTAAGGTAATATAAAAGATATGATTGTATTTTAAAAATAAAATTTTGTCTAAAACATGTATTTTGTATTTTTGATTTATTTTTAATACAGAATAATAAATTGAAACAAAACATGTTTTCAAAATTGCCGCCTTTTCTAGTTCTCGGGCCAGACGTATGATGATGCCAAACAGAAACTTTTAAAAATCATTAAGTAGGCGTTTTATTTTGTAAAAAAATAGGTGTTCTGTGGTTTGAAATTTACTTCAAAATTTTAAATTATGTTTCGGTCGATTTTATTCTTCGCATTGCTTTTATGCGTAAATGGTGAGGGAAAATATGACCTCAGAAAGGTGGATTATCGTTCGAAAAGATGCTACGATAACGAAAAATCTTCTGGTTGCGATTGCAAACTGCAAGGAACTCGAACCGAAATATTAGAGAAAATGGAAGAATTTCTTCAATTATATCTAGACAATCACAATTACTTCGCTTCTGGTAACGAAACTCGCGGTTTTGCCAAAAAGGCTATCAACATGATGGTCATGAACCATGAATTTAAGGCACGATGTTACGGAAGAGGTCTTTTTGACGGATATCACGAAAAATGTAGAATGTTGCAGAACAATAAAACAGCTTCACAGAATCTCGCTGGAACAACCTCTAAAGACACCAGTTTTAAGCAGTTGAAAAGAATTATCTGTAATTGGTAAAAACTTGAAACTGTTTGATAAGTTCTCATTTTTTTTATTTCGAAGGTATCACAAGTCAGAGACATGCAGGAAGATATTCATAAGGAACTTGGTGACATGGGGGAGTATAACATTGGACACTTTGTGTTGGTGGTGTGCCAATAGTGTAGGTTGTGCTCGAATTTAAACAGCAGATACGAAAAATTTATAAGACAAATTTATTCATCCGATTTATGTACAAGATTTAATTTGCTACTACGCTATGAAGGATCTTGAAGGAAGGATTAACTCGTTAGGCGATCCGATGTAACGCCAGGAAAGCCGTGTTCCAAATTTCCAGAAGGAGAGAAATACAATAAATGCAACACGAAATGTACCTCTTTGTGTGGAGAATTAGAACCGGTGCCGACCGAAAAAGAGTTTGATTTTGATCAAACACAATCTCCAAAACAATTCCTATCCAATAACAATTCCATTCCAATAGTCATTTTTATTGCTTTGTTGGTGGTTTCTCTCTTCTAAGAAATAAACTGCTTGAATTTTCTGATGCTTTTGTAACGACAAATTTCTGTATTCAAAATTTCAGGAAAAATAAACCATGACACAAATGTTGGTTTTTGTTAAAAATATTGATGGGCGCCGACTTTTCATATTTTCACAAAAAACTTGATAAATTAATCCTTTTTTTTCAGATCTTCTGTACAAATAATTTCTATAAAACAGAGCACTAATAATAATAAAATTTCTTGTAATACCAATTGGTTTAATAACGATATAAGAAAACTGCGAAATACATTACATTTTCATAAATAACTCTAAAATAAGTGATACAAAAAATATTAAATGATTTTGGGGACCCATGAAGCTTGTGGTAAATTAACACTTGCGGCAAAAAAAGGAGTTAGGTAGAAATAAGCCAACATAAGGACACTGATGGCACTCAAATTCTTCATGACGGAGTCCCGGAAAAGCAGCTTTTGGCGGAACTTTTGGTCCAAATTTTTACAAGTTTCTCATAACACCAGAATTTTTCCCGATCGTTACAAATTTTTTTGCCAGTTTTTTCGTAATTTGGCAAAATCATATTTAAAAAAATTAAACATTTTGCATCATACGTATGTAAAATGTTTCAAAGAGTCAAAAAGCGTAGGGAAAATCAAAAAAATTCAAATAGTTTTGGGCAGATTGTTAAATTATCAATTTTTGTGTTTTTGTGTGATTTTCTAAACTTTAAACGCAAAATAGATTTTATTTCATAAAATAGTGCATTAAAAAAGCTTTTAACGGTACTGAACATATAACGTTGAGAATAATAAGTACATAATTTTAAAATTATCGCCAAATAATCAAAATTTTCAAAAAAATCGCAAAAATAAAAAAAATAAAATTGGAACAAACACTGTTTTTTTATTTATAATTTTAATAATCTCAAAAATCTACAACACAGTATTTGAGTGTTTTGAGGAGTTGAATAGAAAACTGGAGAATTCTAAATACTTTAGAAGTTATTAACATATTTTCAAATTACCAATTTTTGCCTAATTTTGGGTTTTCTCAATACTTATTAACAGCACAAAATTGATTTTTTTGTAAAATAGTATAATAAAAGAGCTTTCCAACGGTACTAAACAGAGACTGTCACTAATGATAATACTAGAGTCATTGCCAAATGACCAAAATTTTGAAAAAATAAGAAAATTCAGAATTAGAGGAAACATTGTTTTTGCGCCTTTTGCAATTTCATAAACTTGCAAATGCATACAACAGTTCCGAAAATTTTCGAATAGTTCAGAAATTAATGACGGATTTTGAAATTACCAATTTTGGTCTAATTTTGCAAATTTCTCAATAACTATTAACGGCACAAAAATATTTCAAGATTGCTGGATGAAAAAAAAGTGAACAAGCTTTGCATAATAATACCAACCACATAAATGACAAAAGTTTGGGCCCTAAAACAATAAAAAACATTTTTTTGACTCACTTATTGACCACGAAGAGTTCGATGCATAACCCTTCGATTGAGAGCAAATATTGGAGGAGAAAAAAAATCCGAAAAAATAGTCCTCATCTTCTTGTGTTCCCTAAAACAAGTTTTGTAACCCCAGACTTGAAAAAAAAAATTACTCGAGTAAAAATTTGTGATAATTGGCACAAATCTTTAATTTTTCCAAACACTTTCCTTCGTGTTTTTGGCTCGAGTCTTGACCAATTTCAATCGATTTCAGGTTTTTTTTCAGTAAGACAAACTGAATTTCAAGCTCGGCTCCCATGAGGAGGAATGTACCATCCATGATCACCGCCACTGGTATACTCTCGGATAAGCACACAACTTGCCAGAAATAGACCACAGCAGTGGCGTGCGTGAAATTGGGGACCCATGAAGCTTGCGGTAAATCAACACTTTCGGCAAAAACCGGAGTTAGGTAGAAATAAGCCAACATAAGGACAATAATAGCACTCAAACTCTTCATGACAGAGTCCCGGAAAAGCAGCTTTTGGTGGAACTTTTGGCCCATATTTTTGCCAAATTTCTCATAACTCCAGAATTTTTCCCGATCGTTGATTATGTTTTCGATCAAAGAGGCGTGTTTGAGGACTGCTAGTTTGCGACCAAAGACCCGGAATTGACATTTTGAGTGGTTTTTGAGGTTTTGAGGATAATTATACGTGTCCATGGGTGGATAAGGCTTCACAAGTCCGAGCAATTTCGAAAATAAACGTGATTAGAGTGAACATGATGGGGGCTAGGACGTATTTGAGGAAATGTGTTTTGAGAGTTTTGTGGGTTGAGAGGGAGCCACTTAGCTTGAATATGGTGGAGACGTACAAGAAATGGTCGGACATTTTGAGGAAATGGCTAATTTGTGTCGTGGAGGGTTTTTATAACAATTTTTTATCTATAAATAATTTTGTAGTTTGACCTAGAATCGAGCTGAATTTGCAACCAATCAACTGTAATTATTAACTAGAAGCAATTAAAAGTTGCTCGAGGTTCTTTTACAGTTATAATTATTCGTTTTAAAAGTTTTATTGGCTTGGAAGCGCGTCCAGATGACATTTTTGCAATTTTAATAAACTATTTTTTAATTAAAAAATTTGGTAAATTAGGTTTTCTCCAAACTTTACAGATATGACACTGTTTATGTAGGTTTTGAGAGTCACTAGACATGCAAAAAACAGTTTTCGGTTCAATTTCATTTTCTTTATTTTTACGATTTTTTCAAAATTGATCAGTCATTTGGCTATAACTCTGGTAACATTACTTAGTTATGAAGAAAAATGCAAAATCAGTCAAAAATTGATAATTCCAAAACATTGTACAAACTGTCGTATGTATTTGTAATTTTTTAACATTGCAAGGACCGCAAAAACAGTGTTGGGGCTAATTTTAAATTTTCTTATTTTTTCAAATTTTTGGTTATTGAGCAATAACTCCGGAATTATCAGTAGTAATAATCTCTGTTTAGTACTGTTGGAAAGCTATTATATTATATCTACTATTTTACCAAAAAAAATCATTTTTGTGCGGTTAATAAATATTGAGAAAACCCAAAATTTGGCAAAAATTGGTAATTTCAAAATACGTTAATAACTTCTAAAATATTTAGAATTTTCCAGTTTGTGCATTTTTGATATTATGAAAATTATTAGAAGTGTTTGTTTCAATTTTGATTTTTTTTATTTTTGCGATTTTTTCAATATTTTGATCATTTGGCGATAATTTCAAAATTATGTACTCCTATTTATTATTCCCAACGTTTTATGTTTGGTACCATTAAAAATTTTTTTTAATGTACTATTTTATGAAAAGAAAAATCTATTATGCGTGTAAAGTTGAGAAAATCTGCCTAAATTTATTTAATTTTTTTTGTTTTTCCCTACGCCCTTGACTCTTTGAAATATTTTACATACGTATGATGCAAAATGTTTAGCTTTTTAAATATAGTTTTGCCAAATTACGAAAAAACTGACAAAAAAATTCGAAATACATAAATTTTGAATAAAAAAATTGTAAAAAAGCTAGCTTTGGACCCATGTTACTTATAGATTTTGAGGTGCTGATTACTATTATAACCGATTTTTTGTAGTAAACTTTTGCAGTAATTTTCATTTAAAAGTTGACTTTTTTGCAAATTTGTGATTTTTGAAATCATCAGATGCGCACAAAACAGTGTTTCAACTTTTAATTTTTTTAGTTCTGATTTTTTTTCAAAATTTTATTTATTTAGCGATAATTTTAAAACGTTCTATGTTTGGTATCGTTAAAGAGCCTTTTTAATGCATAATTTTATGAAAACAAAATCAATTTTGCGGTTAAAATTGAGAGAATTCAAAGCCAAAAATTGATAATTTCAAAATCTCCCCAAAACTATTTGAAATTTTTTGGTGTTTCCGACGGCTTTTAACTCTTCGGGAAGCTGTTTACTTATTTTTTGGTCAAAGTTCAGGCGGCAAAGAGTTAACGATAGGTAAAGACAACATTTTCGAGGCTAAAAAAATTTATATTTTTCAAAATTTAATTAATTCAATAATTTTCGATTAAAATAAGGTGTGCATTACATTTATAATATTTAACTGTATCCCGATTTTTAGCGAACTTATACATATATACAAATTCGAAAAACATAAAAAAAATTGATTTTGAGTAGAAAAATTGTAAAATACTGGTTTTTGTAACCTCTTGTATTATACCTAATATTTTACAAAACAAAATATTTTTCCGAGGTTCATAATTGCAAAATTAGACAAAAATTGGTAATTTCAAAATCCGTTGATAACTTCTAAAATATCTAGAATTCCTCAGGGGCGCCAATAAAGTGTTTGTTTTAATTTTGAATTTTTTTATTTTTGCGATTTTTTCAAAATTTTGGCGATAATTTCGAAATTATGTAGCAACTTTTTATGTTAAAAAGTCTTTTTAACGTACTACGAGTATTTCACAAAAAGAAACCTATTTTGCGGTTAAAACTGAGAAAATCACAAAAAAAGTCAAAAATTGATAATTTCCTAATCTGTTCAAAACTATTTTTTTCCGACGTTTTTTGACTTTTTGAAACATTTTATATTCGTATGTTCCAAAATATTTAAATTTTGAAATATAGTTTTGCAAATTTACGACAAAATTTGCAAATAAATTCAAAAAATTTATAAATTTTAACCGATTTTTCGTGATAACTAAATATCAAAAACCGGAGTGGATTGGACATATAGTTTTGTCTAAAAGCACATTTAAAATTTCCATTACCAGAAACAATTATCAAATACATGTTTTACCAACTCCTTGAAACTTTTTCTCCCATTTGCAACCGTTTTGCATATTTTAAAAGTAAAATTCACTAGCATACATGCGACTACTCATTACACAATTATCATACGTGATCGCTCAAGTTTTAATTCGATTAAAATTATCAATTAATCATAAAACAATTACAAAAAATACAGTACACATGCGCCCACTTTATATAAAAAGCTGCACCCTCAAACTGACCTCAAATCGTCCAAAATGGTCACCAACATCAAATATTTCAATTATTTCTATGGCCACACCCAATCCTCAAAATTTCCAAAGTCCTCAAAATCCCTCAAAGCTCGAATTTTCAACTACGTTTTATTTCCAATTTCTTGCTTAATTCTCGCCCTCATGTTGTACAATTTCAGGTTTATGCACGACAACATTTTCGAAATTGCCCAGAATTCCCAGTCGATCACTTCCTTTGGACAGGTATTAACTTTTTAATTATTTTTTTTCTTAATTATTTTTTAGATTGTTACTCGTCATTTGGTCTATGCCCAACACTCTTTTTTATTGGAACACCTGCTCAAAACAGCGTCCTGTTATTGGAAATATGACCCAAAAAGCCCCATTTTGAGGCACAAAATCTCGACTCGAGTCTTTTTGATCAAAAGCCTCAAAACTATGGCGTTTTTTGTGGTCACTTTTATCATAATTTTGCCGTTTTTTCGCCAAGATATCGATTTGCCGCAAGCTTGTTGGGTCCCCGGATCCGGGGAAACAACCCGGATTTTGATTTATCTCCTCGAATCGGTTTGTTTGCTCGAAGCTGTGGTTTTGCTCGATTTGGTCGATTCGGTCTTCTTCCTCATGGGAGTGGAACTCGAAGTACAATTCATCCTGTTGCGAAATGCCATCAAGAGGGTTCGAATCGGGGAAAACAGTGGCCAAAAACACGAAAACTTCTGCTTGGGCCAGCTAAGAACGTACGCGATCTATCACCAGTTTCTTCTCGAGTAGGTGTTGGCACCACTGGTTCCTGAATAACTTGGTGATTTTTAGCCAACACTCTGTATTGAAGAAAGTCTTCTCGTTCTTCTTTTTTCTTCAGTATTTCGTGTTTGTGCAAGGAGTTTGCGTCGAAATTTTTGTCATGAAGCAGTATGTTTTTATTTTTTTATTTTAGACCGTAATTATTTTTCTAGAGCTACTACGATGGAGCAACTTTTTTTCTCAGCTAGTTATATAGCAGCGAACGCTATGGCTCTCTCATTTGCGTTTCTTTCAGCCAGTGATCTCGAAATTGAGGTGAGTGTCAATTTTTTTCAAACAAATTTTTTTAGAGGAATTTTAAGGCCGAGGCTTTGCCCGAAGCGATTTATTCAATCGATTGGTATAATGGTGGTGCAAAAATAGGAAAACATGTTTTGTTTATGTTAATGAGGGCTCAAAAACCTCTAAGGTTAACAGGGGCCGGAATGTTTGGGGTTACCAGAAACGCGTTATTACAGGTATTTTTAGAGTAATTAAATTTGGTAATTAATTGGGTTTTGCAGGGGTATCGACTTGCGTTTTCAATTTCGACAATTTTAAAGCAAGTCTAATTGGATTAAGTAGAAAAATAATTAATTAAGCACATTTAAGTTTTAGAAAAATTAAATTACTAGTTTACTGAATTCAAATTGTAATTAATTAAATAAAGCTTTAGATTGGCAACAAGACTATTATTTTATT